GGGCTTTGCTTGACTTTTTTTTCTGCCTTCCGCCCTTGTCATGCGAGCCCCATGGGCTACTCCAAGGGACAAATCGGAGATTGCTGGGCCAGTGTGGAAATCTGTGGGGTGCAGTGGCTTTAGGCCCCTCCTCTTGCAGGTGAAAAAGCTATGGGGGGCAGAGATTCCCATTTAAAAAAAAACCCAACTGTGTAAATCAGTGTTTTTCAAACTCAGCAACTTTAAGATGTTTTGCTATGAGGTGGAGAGAGCAATGCCTAAATGAATTAAAAGAATGATTAAGAAGGCTATCAAGAGACAGAAATTGATGGATGATATGTTCCAGGGAGCAGGGTGAAGAAATATTCCCCATATGCAATGTTTGGAAAAAATGGGAAACAAGGTGGTGAAAGTTGAAGGAGAGGGGAGCTGGAAGGAGAACATAATAGTTACCTGAATTTCTAAGTTTTCATTCACACAATCCTCTTCGCTCAATTACTAATTAAGCAATTTTCTGGTTTCTCATGATACTTCCAGTTCTAAACTAATCAAAGAGGCTGGGTTTCCACATGACACTAAGCGAACCATCTCAGTTAAAATTAACAAAGCTTAGTGTGAATTGAACAGAGCCAGTTTGGCCTAGTGGTTAAGGCAGTTTTTCTCAATCTTGGCAACTTTAAGCTATATGGACTTCAACTCCCAGAATGGCTGGCTGGGGAATTCTGGGAGGTGAAGTCCACTCATCTTAAAGTTGCTGTGTTTGAAGAACATTGGGGTAAGTATTGCAAAAGGACTACAGATTGTAAAAACCTCAGAAAGGTAGTTGGGGCTGAGAATTGAGGAAAATCACAGGAGGGAGGAAAAAAGGTCACCCTCCCTTTACTTTTATGTTTTCCTCATGTGTTAGATTTACATCCTACCAGTTTTCTATGAGTTTAGGGGCTGTGTACAGAATTATGCAATCACAGAGGTGGAAGGGAGCATTTATTTATGTCCTGATTTACTTATTCTGGGGCTTCTATGCCACCTAAGCTAAAAAAAAAAAAATGGCCATTGAATCCAACTTTAATAAGTTGACTTACAGCATCTCTGAGAGACGGTTGTCCAGCCTCTGCTTGAACCCATCCGGCTAAAAAGATCTCTCACACACCCTTTTTGCTGACTGATCCTGCTGCCAAATTGCTTTTACCATTAGTTCCCCCCACCCAAAAAAAAATTAAATTAGAATCCACCTTTCTGAAGGTATACCCATTTTCCTCCAAACCGGCACTTCTGGTATTTGCATTTTTGAGTGTGTGCTGTCAGATTCCCCCTCGTAGCAATCTGGCTCGAAGACAAAAGAGGAAAAAATATCCAACATTTATAACTGGACAATCCCCATTTTAAAGGGATCAGTGGATTTTTTTAGATGCTACTTTCTCCTCTGATCATCAAGGGCAGGGGAGTCTACCAAGGCATTTCTGCGGGACAGAGACCATTTTCAAGGATGTAAACTGATGTGTAGGAAGAGAACAAGGCTCGCAAGCTTGCTTGATTTATTTATTTTACAGTACTTATTGCAAAGGACTTTGGGCAGCGTTCAACATCAAAGAATCAGCATCAAATTTAACATCAAAGAATCAGCACTGAACAAGACCTTACAGGGTTGTTGTGGAGAAAATAGAAGGCAGGAATATTAGACATGTTTGCTGCTTAGAGCTGAATATATATGAAGAAGAAGAAGAAGAAGAAGAAGAAGAAGAAGAAGAAGAAGAAGAAGAAGAAGAAGAAGAAGAAGAAGAAGAAGAAGAA